AAACTGATCGTGACATAATACCTGACATGCATCAGTATTGTCATTGTAAGCACATATCATCGATTCCGTGATATGATCTCCAAATGAAGTATTTTTACATGCTGCGAAGGACATTACTTTCAAAGTAGCCTGACGAAGAAATCGGGAAGCTTTTCCTTCTACTTGAACACGTCCCCATCCGGTAATTTTGACATACTGTCCCGTATAATCAGAATCTATCATTGAAAACTTATTACTTCTTTTTATTTTTAAAAATGCTGATATATGTATGTAAAATATAAGAGATGTAAACAAGTGCCTTAATTTAAACTTTAATTTTAAGTGTCTTATAAATTAATATTTACTTTTAATTAAATGGAACAGTTTAAATATTATTAAAAAAGTACAAAACTGACCTTTAAGTGGGAGACATACAGGTCTCACGTTTTCATCGATTTTAATCGGTTGCTGCAATCGAATCAAGGCAATGTCGTTTGTGTCATGGAGATAATCACTCTTGAAATCTTCATGTAAAATTATTTCATCGATTGCGACTATGTATCCATCATTTAGGTTTTTAATATCGTGCATACCTACGCCGACCGAGAGATCGGCATGATTCGTCCTATGCAAATCGGAAGAAGATATGAAAATTAGAATATTTTATAATATATTATAATGAAATATATACTTTCTATCGCAAAAGATATATATAATTGCAATAATATTTTATAATAATCTATAACAATATATTTTTTATCAAATTTATATTTTGTCAATAATATTATTACAAATATTTATATAAAAACTTCAATATTATATCTTTGAAATTGCAAATTAAAATTTTGATTTAAATTAATATTTATTTATTTATATGCTTTTATTCATCATCGATTTTAATATCATATATAACCTTTTTAAAAAGAGTATAATACTAAAAGTATTTTTAACCTTTAAAAAAAATAGATACCATTGAACACAATGTCCAGCTGTTAATATATATTGATTATTAATTAATGTGCCTCCACAATGGAAATTGTTTCTGTTAAGTATTGCCACAACCCAAGGAAATATATGTGGAATCGAAACTTTTCCGCCGATAATACGATTCGATATCCCTTCTGTCAGTCCACATTCTATTATAAAAAAATTTCTTAAATTAATTAAAATTTCATTAAAATTGTGTAGACAAACAGGTAATATATAGTAAAATACAATTAAATATCTTGTATGTGTATAATATTTTTGTAAAAAATTTAATATTCATACTTTTTTGTAAAAAATTTGACTGAAATCTTTTTTGCCAACTCTCTTAATGGTTATTCTATAATGTGCTTTTTGTTTCCTGTTTTTTGCTTTTTACATCTGGTCTTTTTACTTCTTATCCGGTTTTTTGTTTTATGTCGTCCGAGATAAAAAGTTAACGAATTTAAAAAAAAAAGCAAAAAATACAATTGTCGATAAAACGGTTGCAAAGAAGAAAGAATAAGTAAAATAGGCTTAATTCTTTTGTAATATATAAAAAAAAAACATTTTTATTGAAATATCTAAAAATTTAGATTAGATACAGTTCTGAGAATAATTTTGTTGTATCATTAAAATAATTATGTAGAGAGCATATAACAACTAATGCTGCAAAAAATTTTTACATTCTAGCGTTCTAACTTGAGCTACATAATTTTTTTTGGTAACCGAAATTATTTTTAGAACTGTATTAGCTAAATTTTTAGATACTTTAGCAAACTATTCTTTTCATTATATTTTCCGCATATATATCCCTACTTATAATTTTATATTGTATAATTATTTTTATAATAGGGTTGGGGATAAAGTTCGATAGTATGAACAAAAAATATGATTAATGTGAAATTAATGGAATTAAATGTAAATGTTCACTAAATCTAACAGATTACTCCAGAATAAAAGTAATATTGTAATGGCTTTATGATTTTCGTGCTATAAGCTTTGTTACACACATACATATATGTAATATAATAATTTTAATATGATTTACCGCAATCTCGATTTACTCGTAAATGTAAGCGATGATTTTGCGCATGTGCTGCCTGAAAATGAGCACAATGTAATTACTTAGTAACTACTCAAACAACATGAGTGACCGTTGACTTATAAGTCGACTGTTCCCAATTGATATAGAGTAAGTCGACATTAGAATATTGACTGTTAGTCGACTTTTTTTGAAACATTTGTCAAGTATTAGTCGACTATTAATCGACATTCGGTCAACTTATAGTCGACTTTTAGTCAACTTTGTGTTATTTGAGTAGTTATCAGTCATATTTCCAATTTGTTTTATAATAACTTTATTAATTACTCTTTCAACGAACGTCTAAGATTAGAAGAATGCCAATTATAATCGTCAGACTCAAGTGGGGCTTCATGATTCGTTACTCCTGTCAAGATTTCCTTCTGAAAACAATGTGATTACTGAGCGCAACACAGAGAACACTCTGTTCTATATCGAGTCGCAAACAACGGTAACCAATTTCGATGCTGCATCATTGTCGAGCGTATCACCTCGTCGTTATTTTATATCTCGAGGAGTGTGTTCCAATAAATTGCTATTCCCATTAATGTGTGGACGATAGATTCCAACGAATAATTGCGCAACACAAAAAACGCCGTTAATCTTTGGACTCGAATTAAATATAAAATCAAAATATAGATTTCAGGATATAAAAGATTATATTTATAGGTTTTTTTTAAAAATATTCGAAGTTTCACAAAAATTGAAAAAAAGTTTTTATTTATTGATATAATATATAATATATTACATATAATATATTGTTATAATTAATTAATGTTACTAATATACATATTCAATTGTTAAATTTTATTTTTCATATGAAAAATGTACTTTATCCTGTTCAGAATAGGTCGATTTTACAGATCGCTGCTTTTTCTCACTTCGAAAATGTTATAAATTACTTTCGGAGAAGCGGGAAAGATATTAGAGTGGTATATAGGTGATAAATTCTTATAAGGATTTCCTATAGCAATTGTGTCTATGACTAAAGTCGGTGCATGGAGAAGAAAGAAGACGATTTGAGAACTTGCGTTCTCAATTAAAAAAAAAGGGATAAATCAGAAAATAGCTGTTTTCTTTATTACGCTTAAATCTGAAAAGAGTATAGAACAGTAAAGAAGTTTATTAATAATGAATAATCGCATAATTGCATCATAAATCAAGTATAAAAGAATTGCAATTAAAAGCATCATTATTGTCTTAGGCATAACTTTAATAAAAATCATGATTGAAAGTAATTGAACATTCATTGAACTTTCATTGGTTAGTCGTCATTTCCTTGCATTTGCAATGTGCATTTCTTGGCACATATATCAATACAGCTCTGCAGATACCGTATCGTGCACGTCGACAGTCAAGTATAGAGCATTATAATTTACGAGTTATGGACAATTCGTTCAACAACATTTTATGTCGCAATAGCTGATAAACGTTAAATGCATCATGAGAAATCATAAATTGTCTGCACTTCAGTATTCAGTTAAATTCATAAGAATATTTATATCATAAATATTTAAAATAATAGAAAAGAAAAAATAAGAAATAATAAATAAATAAAAAATAGAAAATAATAAATAATTGAACTAATAAAACAAAATGATTGGAAATTAACTCTATATACAATGCATAAATTATTTTACAAATTTGTGTACCGTGTTGATTTCTATTTTATATCATAATTTATATATTGTAAAATGAATAGTATAAAATTTGTTTATTCTTTTACTTTTTTTATTAATAAATTGTTTCAATAATTATTTGATTGTATGAACAGTAATAACAATGAGGGGATGGGTAGAATCAAATCAGTCTCTGCATATTTGAATCTAGTCAAAGAGTTACCAGATTTAAAGAGTTCCTTTGCGACTTCCGTCGCAAGTTAGTCGCAAGGATTATTTTCTGTATAGGATGCAAGATTTGGATTTGCGATTTATCGGATATAAATCCGTTGTTCTTTACACGATATTCCTGTATATATGATTTAGAAGATTATTTCAATCATACCAATGTCAACAGTACTTAGAATCATGTTTTGTTACTTGCAATATCCATGAAATCATTTGTGTAACATCCGTAAAAATCTGGATAATTAACATCAGCACATAGTAATCCACTTGAAGTAAAGAAGTCCTATAAAATAAATGTTGTTTCTGTATTGTCAAATTATTGACTATATGTATATATTACAACTTACCTATCAAGACATATAATTCTCATCCAAGATTTGAAGAGGGCCGCCACTATCACCCTGTGTAATAAATAAATTTGTAATATAACATTTTATTCAAATTATTTATATTGCTGTATCTCTTAATATGTATTGTATGACATGATAATAATATGAACATGATAATGATAAATAAATTGATAAATAAATACGGAAAATTAAGTATTGATGATTATTAAAATCGGTTCTATAAATTTATAATTTGAGTTTATTTGTACATTGATATTGATAATGTGACATATTTTTGATTGAAACTAAATAAGAAATAAATATTTTTAAAAGATAGTCAATATATAAAATATTTATAAAAAATATATTATATGCAATATCAGTAACTTTTACAGGACGAGATTTATTCTCAAAATCTTACAACTTTTTCTTGAGATTTATTATAATTCACTATTTCATTATATTTCTTGCCTCAAAATATGACACTATTTCAGCGCCATTACAATAATTTTCCCGTTCTATAATGATTAAGAATAGATTATTGTAAAAAAATTGAGTGTACAATTTAAAATCAATAGCTTTAGTTAATGATCCAAAACATTAAGAAAAATTATTTATGTGTTTAGAAACACATATTAAAAATATGCATAGTTATAATTTCATGAAAATAATTCATAATATTAATACAAACATAAATTATATATATAGTAAATTATATATAAGAGAAAATTTAATTAAAATATTAAAATAAAATATAATAATATTAAATAATATTAAATAAATATTTGAGAATACCCCACAAGTGCCTCGGGGTGCTTTTTTATATCCTGCGCAAAGCAAGGTCGAGATGTTAGTAAGACATTCCAATCTTTTAAATAACGTTAAATCTACAATACGTAAACCACAGTCTGTATTAAATAAAAATTCATTTCTGAAAATCCCCAGCCAAGTGCAGATACGGATTGTCCTTCGTATTGAGAGACTGCATCAAATTCTGCATAAAAAATGCAAAATAATTATTAAGAATAATTATTATTTAGTCAAATCTTAACGTCTACTAATATACAGATATTGTACACAATGATAATAGAAATAGATATAGAAATTACCGAGTTTTGGTAAATAAATCGGTCTAACAAGTTTGTTAAAGGTAATCCTCATAATTAATTTTACAAGCATGATATCAGCGAAGTTTGTGTTTTTATTGTAATCTGGATGTGGAAAAATACTCTTAACAGAAAAGATGATACTTTTTGCATCCCATTTGCATGAATTATGAGCACCAACAGATACTTTTAAATCATCTTTGCTAAAATTATAAAATATAACTTTACATACTTTTGTTTACAAATTTATATAATCTTTGCAAATGTTATTGTAAAGAAAATAAATTTTTTTATGTGAATTAAATCTTATTAAAAAAACTATTTTAAATATGTATTTCCCTAAGAGAATAACATAATAAGAATAGTAAATTTAAAGTATATGAACTTTTATTGGCATGTGATATATATAATATTTTTATTCTCTTTTTTTTTTCTTTTTTTTCTTTTTTTTCTTTTTATCTATAATAATTATTCATTATATAAAATTTTGTTTTATGTAAATTTATTATTTTAAAATTCATAAAAAAGTTGTATTAAAATTTCCAGAGTTATTTTATAAAATAATCTATAATAATGTTATAATTTTAATATGTATGATAGTTTTAATATAGTATCTTTGTTAATACAAAAATATAGACTTCTAAAATTATTATTTTTATTTAATCATTTAAAAATTATTTTTAAATGATTTTATTTTATTTAAATTATTTATTTTTTCATTTAAAAATTATTCATTGTAAGAAGTGATAGTTTTTTCACATTATAAATAATACGTATCCATTAATATTACAGTGAGTTGCAGTTATTACATAATCATTTATGATTGATGCTCCGCAGATTACTTGTGATTTATTGATACTTATAATACTAGCCATCCAGGGAAATTCGTTTTCAAAAACTTCTCTCCCTCCAATTATTTTGGACAAGTATGAAGTAGTTCTGGATGAAGTAGTTTTCTTTCCACATTCTAAAGCATAATGATCATAAAAAAGAATATTTTATAATGTTCAATTTTATATAATTTTTAATGACTTAGATTTATTTCTTTACATGCACATAAAATATCGATAAATATTTTATTCATTTTATTTCAATGGATATACAAGTAAAGACAACATTATTAAATAATTTTTATAAGAACAAAGATAGTATATAACATTTATTAAAGATTTGATATTTAATGTAGGGATTATTACTTTTTCTTTTGTCATTACTTGCGAAATTGAAATTATTTAAGATTAATCTTACCGCAATATTCACAATCAGAATTTCCGTGAAATCTATCAGTATGAACTTGTTTATACCACGGTAATGTATTAACATGTCTAATTGTTAGACACGATAAATTAATTAATATAAAATATTCTATGCGCAACATTAAGAAGAAATCTTCATTTTAAGACGTTTTGAACTGATGTGTGCTACACTTGATGTGTTTTGAACTGATGTGTGCTACACTTAATGTACAGTGTAAAATATATTTTAATGATTAATATTTCGACGTGCGAGAATACTGAAGAACGGATGTGGTTTAACTCGCCAATAGTTTTTAGATAAGGTAATATTTAAGGTTCACAATGTTTTCCTACTGAGAAGTACGAATTATTTACGAATTATTTAGTAAAACTCTGTAAAATGTTTGAACATTATAAAATTCAATGTTTAGTCTGGTATGATTTCGAAATTATTTTAAAATACATAGTTTATATTTTACAGCTTATATCTTATTATAATGCAATAAAAATATTTTTATTTCAAGAAGTATACATTCGTTTAATATATTATAATTTTCATATTTTTATACATGTGTATAATAACAAAATGTATATATACATATATACATTTTAAATAGTGCTTGATATTTAATATTATTTTATACTTTTTAAAATGCAATATATATAACAGTAAAAATAACAACAATAAAATAATTATTAGTTATTGCATATCACATATGCAATAATATTCTGTAAGTTTGCTGTATTATTTTGTACAGTAGCAGGCATCTTTAGTGTGTTGTAATATCCAATCAAGACTCGGTCCTACTCTCGTAAAAACAGTTGGCTTAGGAGAATCGTCGCATTTATTCACGCTCGGAATAATTCCTATAATACAATATACATACATATTTTGTTACTAATATATTTCTTTAACTTTAAGAATTAATAATTTATCTTTCAATAAGATACATTTTTTAAACTCAATTTTTTAAAATATATTGTTATTAAATAAGTATATTTTTATTAGTATAATAAATTTGATATGTAACCACTTTTAAATATTAAACAATTTTAGTTTTACAAATGATCATATTTACCGATAAGATCATAAATTCCGGCATATGATCGATATTGCACAGAAGATCCGACGTCATTCTATAAATATGCAATATTATTATGATACATAATTATAAATAATATATAATTTTGATAAATTCTTTGTTTTCAAATTAAGATA